CTTCCATTTTTCATCATAATCTGGATTGCCCAAAATTTTTGTGAACGGTGCCTTTAAGCTCAAAAGAAGTCGCTGGGTATTCACAGCTCCTCAAAAATGAGATGGATGACTTCGGACAATCATCCTTCTTCTGAAAGCTCACAAAACTCACCAACAAAATCGACCTCAGCCTGTACAGGGCCACTACTTCCGACAGCCATTGAAACCAGTCCCGGATATTTGACGCGAGCCCATGCAGCAAGAGCTCCTGCAGGCGAAGGCATTCGATTTCGCACTACCTAGGGAACCTAAGCTGCTTACCTGAGTACGATCCACCAAACGTTACCCAATGTGCACCAGCCAGTTGCGGGAACTTCGCCTTCATACCGTTGATAAATACGGCCATGTCCTCTAAGGCTTGAGCCGAGCTGAGGTAGACAAGATTCGCTGTCGACATATCCCTGAAGGTCAGAAGAGTCAGGGCTTTACAAAAATGTTCAGCCTATCCATAACATACGGTGTGGGCCTGCTTTGACCGTAGTAACGGTGTTCCAGGAGGAAGACAAATGCCCCGTTTTGTGCAGCCAATTGTAGCCATTCGAGATCTCCTGCAAAGATCTTAGTAAGATGGTCTCCCGATTCCGTCAGACACTAAATGGTGGAGTTGTGAGATGACGCACCGTCTTGGACCCAGTACGGATCCTCCTCAGATTCTCCTCCAAGCATCAAGAAAACTGGACCACCTGGCGTGTACCAATGATCATTGTACCAGTACCTCTGGAGACATTTTTTTACAAAATGAAACCTCATATAACGATAAAGCAAGAAAACCGATTTTCATTGAATTCGTCGATTTCTTCTCGGTTCTTTTTGATTTCTCAGCAAAAAAAAATTCTGAAAATTTTCAAGAACAGATGGAGATGAATCCCTTTCACTCATGTGTAGTACCCCGAAAATCATGGGCTCACTAGATGTCCGAGAGCAGGCCTAAACAGAGGAAACAGGACGAATAAACCCGACCTCAGCTACTACTCACCTGAGTGTAGACTGCAGTTGATGTGTTACTGAAGTGGTCGACTTTGTTTTGGAAAGAATCTGCCACGAAAGATATATCCCGAGCATACTTTTCATTTCTCTGAAAGCAAATCATACGTAAGAGAATCATCGACATTAAGAGTACTGGTTAGTACAGCTCACCGTTGGTTTGGGAACAAAACCACCCATAGGTCTTCCCCGAATCATATGCCGGCGGAACTTTTTCTGAGGAGCACATTGAGTTACCAGAAAAAAGCCTGAAAAATCCGAACCTTTATAAAACTCATCTTATGTTGAGAAAAAGGTGTCTGGATTCCAATCGGACCTCATCTTTCCAGGTGGTCTGTATCATCTAAGGCCAACCTTATCAGCGCTCAATCAATCTCCCCTTATACATTTGATAGGACAACACAAAGGGGTCCGTATTTTGAAGAGAAGCTCTGATGAATTTTCTAAGCAAAAAAAGCGATATGAACTGAATTACTCGTCCTTCAACGTACTAATTGCCCAAAAATTCCAAGAATGAAAGTAAGAAAAGGTCTATACCACAGAGCGCAGTTTCGGAAGCGCAGTTTTATGGAAACTGGAAAATTTAAAGAATCACCTTATTAGTAATCCTTTGGCTTGAGTCTGAGAAATATTACTTTTTAAATTAGTAAAGGATATGCTTTGGCCGATTATTCATTGTTTATATTTTTTCACTTTTGAAAACTCGTAACAGCATCCAAAATGCGTGCTATATACTTAACAAATGACCGCATCACGATAAAAACTGATGATCAGCAACTTTTTCTGGCCATTTGGCACCTGGATCTACAACTCACTTTCCTTTCCAGGTATGGGTATTTCTTATGTATGACCACAAAATATAGGTAAGAAAGGGAAAATATAACCTTTGCTTCACCGTAAAGCAGTGGTGTACCGACCTCTCAGTGTTAGTAATGGTGTAACCCCCTTAACCAACAAGCAACAAGTTGAGGTTCAATCCTGAATTTTAAGCCTTCCGTTCAGAAATAACAGAAAGTTCAATGCTTTCCTATAGGAGACCATTTGCATCTACCCGAAAAGGAAACATTCGTCTCGTTCTGTTGCAAGGATGTTTTTGGACATACATATTGCTACCCAAACAACTTTGATATACAGCTTATACGGTACTCCCTTTCATGACTACTAAACATGAGCCATTTTCCTTTTGATTACAACTTCTTAGGTGAAATAGTTCGATGTATTTCGGTAAGTACACTTGGTGTACAGCCCTAAGGGCGCGCCTGCGTCCGGTTTCGTCCGCGAATTAATGAATGTGATAAGGGCCTGATAGGAGAATCAACGCCTTCCGAAACTACAACACTTACAAAGATTTTTTGGAAAAAAATCGATAATGTCGAAACTTTTTATTCTTGAATCCTAGCATCCGTAGGCTACAAAATAGGAAGTCTATTTATAAAATCAAACCCAATTCCCTACGGTAGTCTCGTGCGCATTGCTTAGATCAAAAAGTTAAAGCTGTTACTTAATAAAAACCACAATGAATTTTTTACGAAAAGTTGTAATTTGAAAAAAATATATAGGAAGATACGAAACAATCCAAAATCTGGAACCTGACCAAGTAGAAACAGACTGCCGAACTTGAGCAGTGCCATCGTAACAGTAATTTTGGTATCTTGTGACGGCAGTTTGACGGCAGTTTGGTCCTCTTGTTCTGGTGCTCACTCATTTCGACCTGATAACAAATTTAGACTAAAGACCAGTTATAAAATCATCTAAACTACTTTTATAAAAAATATTTATCCGAGAGCCTTGGGCTTCTTGGCAATGAGACAAAGAGGGGAGCAACCCCTGCGACCTGTAATTAAAGCCCAAGAGAAAAGCTTTTGAGCAAACCAATCCCGATATCGGGATGCGACCCACAATCGACTCTCATTTTGAATCGCGGTGGTGTTTAGAGTTTATACCTTGAGTTGCAGTTGGCCAATCACTGTACAAGGCAGTGTTTTATCAACTCAGACGAATCTGACACCAATAGCCGACCGTGGAGGGAGATCTGATTAGTTAAACATGTATCGAACTTGGACTCAATCTCCTGACAACGCATCCACTGGTGCGCAAGTTGGCACTACACCTGCCTCTAAATGCTCTCGAAACACTGCCAAGTGCAGTCACAAAGCCGAACACTTCCTTAACCATAGAGATTTGGTTAGACTTCAGGGAGAAACCAGGGGCAAATACAACGAGAGGCTTGAAGATGTTTATGGTTTTAATCCGATGCATTTTTTCCTTGAAAAAGTTGATTAACTCAGTAACTGAGGCACTACTATATGGAACCGCTACCGTACACGAGAATCTAGTCAGAAGTTGGAACCCAAGGCTGAAACCCAGATCGGAGTTGCTTCGCACAAGCCTTGTTTCTTAATATACTACATTACATGACTCTTACATTGGCTGGCCCCCCTCAGGGATAGCATAGCCGACTTACGACAATCGGTCGCCCCTACGATTCGAGATGGAAGTTGAACAAATGGCGCACCCTCAAATGGAACTAATCAACGCCTAACACGGCCCACTCAACTTCAACCTAACGCCAAACGCTTTCGCCTCTTCCTTATTCTGTTTGACAGCTTAACTTCAGAGGCTCTGCAGGCTACACACTACACAGACTTCAAAACTAAAGAACAAATTCTATGGTAAGAGCCCTGGTTTCAAGCTAATTATGCCAAAAACAACAAAGTATGAGAAAGAGGTATGGGAGAAAACTTTACAAATGTTTGACATCTACAGAAAAGACTGAAAAGAATGGAGACAGTTAAGGTATGGAAGATCATAAAAGCGAAAGCGACTGAAAACGCAATCACCTGTTCCGCGGTTTGTCCCAATTATCCTATCCAAGTACAACAATCCCGACGTTTTTTATGCGAGTACATCTTGAAGTAGCTTCTAAGCATTCAAGAATTTAAAAAAAAA